TTGTTAGTCAGCATTTCCAAGGCTGTAAATCTTGGAAGCAGACTGCCACTTCATTCACGGAGTGGCTTGGATTCAAACCACCTACCTCTGGATTAGCAGAGTGTTCAGCTACTGCACCATGACAAATTTTTATATGGGATCAAGGACTAAAAGAAATAAATGCTTATTGTCCCGGTTTCTTATTTTCTTCCCCATTCTTGATCTCTTAAAACATTTCGTTTGATTTTTCCAGTGATAGTTTTTGGGAGTTCTTGAACAAATTCCACCTAATAGGAAACAAGAAACAATTTAATTGAAACTCAGGTTCTGAGTTTTAGAATGTGGGGATTGTTTTAGCCTCTGCTCACTCAATTTCTTGGGCACCAGAAACTTCCACATATATAGTAAACATGACACTTGTACTTAACAACTTTCCCAGAAGGAAAGAATTCTTTTATCCCATTACTTTGCCCACTTCAAAGAAATCTAGGTCTACTACCTCAGAGAAATGCAGGCAATATATAAATGCAAAGGCAGCTAATTCTTGGTTTCTGAGGTCTTTCAGGTTAGGCCCCCAGCAGTACTTTAGAGGTCAGATTGAGTATATGGGATTTGCTCTTTATCCCTTTGAAGACTGCCACTAACATCCTTTGTTCCTATGTTCTTAAATGCCCTAGGGCAAAATTTAAGGGCTTCCGGTTGGTCACTGGTTTAGTAAATTCAGGGGAGATAAGGTGACCAGTTCTTAGGTGGAAAATTACCTTTTGACTGAAATGAAGCCAATTGAGATGGAATTATCATGTAGGGAGTTCAGTCTATATCAATCGACGCGGTGCCAGGGCTAGAAGGGACCCCTAGTGCCATCTGAGACTTTACATAGTGTTCTTAAGGACAAGGTGGCTTTGGATGACATCTTCCTGACCCTGAGTCATATTTTTGGATAGAGGATTATGGCTTATGGGAACTAAAGTTCAGATGGCCTCCCTAGAAACAAGGTACTCTGCAATTATGTTTTGCAAAAAAAAAATTTGTTTTGTGTTTGCATTAGACTAGTAATTCAGTATTGCAGAATATATGTATTATCACAGTGTTCTAAAAGTATTTCAAAGTAAAATGAGCACTAAGATGGAAATAGATATCTCCTACCTATAAATGAGTAATAGAGAAGCTGTTAGCTATTAATATTGGGCTATCGGGCAAGATTAACTTACCTGCAAATGTTTTTCTTGCTTGATATACCTTTGTATATCTGTTTGAAACCCACTAGTTAGATTTTTAAAAATTATATATCAACTGTAGATGCTAGTTTGGAAATACCCTTAGCTTTGGGGCAAAGTACTTGCCTTTCTTGGGTATTTGTAAGGCGCAGTTGATTTTTTCACATGATCCTGAAGTTCAAGAGTTAATTTCTCAGGGTTGGATGATTTAAAAGGTGCAGACAGTACAACAAAAGCTTTCACCACCTGTAGGAGAAATGTCAGTTCAGATTGTTACCTTTGATTTGTAGACATCAAAAGAGTTTGAAACAAATACTACTAGAAAACAGCATCTCGAGTGAAGAATACAAATGTATTCACCTCTGAAGAAGGCCTTCAAAAGGTAATATTTTGAGATGTAAGTAATTTGTACACAGGAGGAGTACAGTGGTTCACTAAAGATAAACTTTATACACATGCATTTAACATTTTAGTCAAGATACTTGTATTGAGGGGCTTTAAAAAGTTAGTGGCAAAATCCCATTACCACTTCCATTTTTCCATGAGGTCACCTTGTGGTAGGGGGACAAATAGGAGTTCCGGAGAGTATTTGGTTTAGGGTTTGGGAAGCCTTGCTGCAGGAAGATCGCATACTGGGAGTTGGGCTACCAGGCAAGATTAACCTACCTGTAAAATGTGTTTCTTACTTGACATACCTTTGTAGATCTGTGAAACCCACCAGTTAGATATGAGTTCATATATATCCCTTGAATTATAATTCAAACATTGATACTGATTGGTGTTTATCAGTACTACTGAGACAACCACTAGTATTGAGAGAATGAGAATGTGTCAGATGGCAAATCGTTTTGGTGTGTGGACTCCATGGAGAGTGGAGGGGATACAGGAGGGCATAGCATAGGGCCATCGTGTCACTGCAGGAGGTCACTGGTATGTGAGAGGGAGGTACAGACAGAGGGGAAGATGGTGATGGAAAAACTACCATGAAAATGTGCCATTTGCTGAATCTAAGAAACCTTCCATATCATATTACCTTCGGTTAAGGAGTAAGTCATCGCCTAAGTCCCATTTCTTAAACAGCCCTATGACATTCAAGGGGTCTTCCCTAAGAATCCATTTAGCTGCAACCAGGGGTGGGGATGGCTGGAGGCTTGGGGAGCTTGCCTGGGAATCTGACCACAATCTCCTGTTTGCAGTGCTTCTGTGAGAACATGGGTTATGAGTTCCACAACAGCTGGATATACAGTGAAAGAAGTTGTTTGTCCTATTGAAAGACGTGCCCTGACTTGCTGACAGAAGAGTAGCCTGACATCTCTTTAATGGGGTTGATGCCAACTCCCGGATAGGCTTATACAAGTCTGGCAATCAGTACCCCCTTTTCCTCTGACCAGGTTAGCTGAGCAAGATGATCCAGGATAGGCAACTTTCTTGGCTCTGCTGTTCTTTGTGTTGACTAATTTAGGAAGGGACTTGGTAGCGACTACCTCCAGGCTTACACAATTTACCCCAAGGCAGGGAGATAGCTCCATTTCAACCCCTAGGAATAGCTTGGAGCCTGAAGCTTGGCTACTTGGCTCCCTCCTAAGTGAGCAAATCAATTCCTTTTTAATATTAATTTTAAAATTTAAGTCAGCTTGTCTTCCATCACCACCAAAGGAAACGGAATATCCCTATTTTGGGACACGGTTCATTTGCAAATCTGATCACCTACTGTATGCTCCAAGCCATGGTATTTTCAATCACTTCATGTGCATGTGAGGGTTGGACATTTGAATTTGGACATTGAATTTAAAGAATTTTCTTTAAAAGCTAGGATGGCATGCAACTTTGGCTCCTGTACTGTGCACATGTTATCAGGAGAGACTGGTGCCTGGAAGAGGACATCATGCTTGGTAAAGCAAAGGGGCGAGCAGCTAAAAAGAAGACCCCAACAAGATAGATGGACAGAGTGGCTGCCACCATTGGCTTGAGCATAACCCTTGTGAGGATGGCACAGGACTGGACCGTATTTCCGTCTGGTTGTACATAGGGTCACTGAGTTGTGCCAACCTGGCCGATAATCACATGTGGGGCTAATTGAAAGGCGGAGGGATAAATGGGTGGTGATCCTCGCCTTACGAGTTCTCGGGTCTCTTGCTTTGTGGTGGTTGCACCAGCGTGCAGCTGCCTTAGCAGTTCCCTGCTTCAACTTGCAAGATTGACTTCCTACAAGACATCCTCAAGGAGAAGCCACATGGACCTATCCCGATGCAGCCCTGGGTGCTGGAGCAGCCGTGTGGAGACCCCTGCTAGTGCTGAGATGCGTATTCGTTCACCGACTCAGCTTTCCTCCTGCAGTCGGCATCATTGCCTCTGTTTTGTGAGGTGGAGGACTTTATGGGCTGGTGCTGGGTTAATGGGTTAATGTTGGCCTTGTGGGCTTGGGCAGCATTGAGTTGGGCTGTTTTCGTGATGCACACTTTCTTTACATAAAACTCTCTTATACATGAGTTACTGTGGATTTGTTTTTCTGAAGTACCTAGACTAATACAGTCACTATGGGTCAGAACCCACCCACAACAATAGCAATTGTACATCGGTGTCTCGTAATCAGACATAGATGACTACCCCTGATTCCTTTTTACTGTGGTCAAGTGCATGGGACTGGAAAGTATGAAATTACTACTTTAATTAGTAGCATGCTCTCTACCTCTCCTCTGATTGGATCTGGACTACTGACAACAGCCGACTCCACAACTGCTGGGTGCTCAATGAGAGCGCTCTCCACCTCGAATGGCCCAATCCGGTACCTAGGAGAGCAAAAGGAGCCTCCTGTCACCACAGTGCTGAGGAGGAGGGTCTTTTAAAAAATCACCTTATTGCGGGCTCTTACAGCTCTTATAATATTCCATGCATCAATTGGATCAAGCATATTTGCACATATGCTGCCATCATCATTTTCTAAACATTGACTTTCTATTTGAGCCCTATCAGTCCTCTGTTTCCCCCCTCTCTCTCCCCTCCTACCCTTGATAAATGATAAATTATTATTATTTTCTTATCTTACACCCACTGTTGTGTCCCTTCACCCATGTTTCTGTTGTTTGCCCCCCTGGGGGTGGGGGATTATGTGGCGATCATTGTGATTGGTACTCCCAACCCCCCACTTCCCTCTCCCCTCCTGGTTTTGCTACTCCCATGTCTATTCCTGAAAAGGTTATCTGACCTGGATTCTGCGTGTCAAGACCTCTTATCTGAACCTGTATACATGTCCCGGTCTAGCCGGAACTGAAAGGCAGGACTGGGGTCATGATAGTGGGGTGTGAGGAAGCCTCAAGGAGGAGGTTCTCGTGGTAACTTTTTGTTTCCTAAACGGTGGCAAGGGTACAGACCCAGAGGATATGATGACATCATCAGCTCTGCCGACAAACCAGAAATAGCCATCACTGTCCATCACGCCTCTGTCGCCAGTGACATAGAAATTCCCTCTCACTGTGGCTGCCGTCTTCTCTGGGTTGTTCTAGGAACCACAGACAACATTTGGGGATTAATTTGGTCAGAACAGAGATGGTGTTATAGCACCTGCTAATTGGGTAGTCATTCTATTTTTAAAAGAAACAATTTTGAAGAGACTCCCATTATAAAAAGCCAAAGATCCACAAGAATATAATAACATATTTACCTCTCTTCCACCTATAGCGTTCTAATCCCTATAATCCATCCCTCCCCTCCCCCTCCTGCCCAGTTTTCTGTGCTGAAGACAATCATTACAACCAGCGTCTTATACATAGGATTTAATGTTCCCACAGCTTTTCTATGAAATGAGATTTTGTAAGTTGCCCAAAGTCACACAACAGAACATGGCAGTTGTGAAATTGGGTCTATCTGAAACTGAATGCCAATCATATTTCCCATTGAAGTATGAACACCATATTCTGCATTCTCATACCACATATTCAGAGAAGAAACAGAAGGGCCGAGTAGACGTTAGTCTGAGGGCAATTTCCCCTTCTTTGCCAGGTGGTAGGATATTGCCATTTTCATCTATAATCTAGAATGAAAGGAAATGATTTAGGTTCTTAAAATATTGGGGCCAGGGCGTGGCACCCCATCAGACTGGACTGGAAAACACTCCTAAAGGTCAAAAAACAGACCTTGAACTACTTATAAGCTTTTCTCTTTTTTTGTCATTGGTTTTTGTTGTTGTTTTGTTTTCTTTTGTTGCTTTGTTTTGCTCTGTGTTGTTTTTGTGCATATTATTATCTCTGCAGGTC